TTTAATTGGGGAATTGGTGGTTTTGGTCAGCTGTCAGTTTTGAAGAAACCTAGAGAAAGCTATATCAGCTAATTTAATGAATCATAATCATTGGCCTCAGAAGGAATTCAAACCCTTATTAATTCGTTTTCCAATTTAAAAATTTAGGGCCCAAAAAAAATTAGCATTATAGAGGTACCATTTTTCAAACAGGGGGGTCTGAATAAATTTGGAAAAATTTAGCATTATAGAGGTACCATTTACTAATCAGGATCCAACATTACTTGCCAAACACACCTCCGACTCCAAACACTCCAGGTATATTGGAATACTTACATACCTTAGGGTCATAAAGGGGCTCAATGCATGTAGCTATTCCATATATACATGGATGGCCTGGGAATGTACAGTCGACCCTAAGCGACTTCAGCTCGTGTCGGCCCAGGGGTTAGGGTTTACGCGACCTGGTCGTCCCCCGAACACATCCCCAAAAGCCACCTGGTGTGAGAAAGCCTGGTGCTCCGGGTGTTCGTTCTGTCATCCAGGGTTGGCATGGGTTTCTGAATCCCAAAACCTGTCAATAAAAATTGACAAAACAAAAAAAACGGACAGTTAAACACCCCCTTGTGAACTTCACGCGTGTGCTGTGGACACCTGCCGTTCAGGGACCGTCAGAGAATCGCCTCGGACCCTCTGCCGTTCAACACGCCATCCGCCAAGGTACTTGTCTTATACGGTCTTAGACACCATTGAGAAAGGCCATCGAATTTGGTGACGGTGACGGGTGGTCAAGATTGGTTGACGTGAGAAAGGGATTCAAATAGATGTTGTTACTGATTCAATGCTCCTGATCAGATATGTATTTTTGCAACTGCGGACGGAGCTTGGGGTCAGGTCAGCTGCAGCTGCAGCTGACGGGCATCCACTCTCAACTCCTGCACCGAGATGAGAGAAAGCCAATCTGGGTCCTGAACTACACTCCCTGGAACTAACATGGAAGTGGAGAATGACCCCTTGGAAGACCATGAAATCCACTACAAACAGGTGGTGACCTCCACTTCCATGTTAGTTCTAGGGAGAGTAATGAACTTGGGGCACAACCAGTTTCCTCTCAGCACTGACGGGCCAGAAAATGGCCAATCAGATGTTTCAGCAGAATCCATTGGTCAGTTGCATGGACCAACGACCCAGGAAGACATGGCTTGGCCCGGATTTGCCCCAAAGATCCATTAGCATTTGGAGAGAGCCATTCTTTGGTGTACACTCCGCTATGCTCCTCGAACTCGGTGCAGTTCACCACCCAGTCCCCTGAACCCAAAAGCGAGGTCCTACCATCCAGGTTGGGCGATGGATTGTTCTACTCTCCCTAGAACTAACATGGAAGTGGAAAACCACCTGTTTGTAGTGGAAAATGGTCTTCCAAGGGACCATGCCATCCACTTCCATGTTAGTTCCAGGGAGTGTAACAAAGGCGTACGTTCTACATCGTGGTACATGTTAGAACCGGTGAAGCTTCTTGAAAAGACTGTTCATTGCCAGAGAAGCTGTTCAAATGCATTGCATTCCAGGCTTTTCGGTTGACTGCCGGCAACTGGCGAAGAATGATGCCCAAGGAGTCGAAAGGGGTCGAAAGGGCTCGAAGAAGAATCGCTTGCCGCTTCGCCCGCGGTTGGGGCGCAAACCGCGCATCCACTCAAACGGCGGCGGCCGGACCGTCCATTCAGGTCACGCGCGGGAAGTCGTCCCGGGTTTTCGGGGATCCGACGTCGCAATACGCGCGCCATGGTGAAATGCTACGTGTGCGGCTTTGTTGAGGCGACGAACAGTTGCGACCGATGGACTGTGGGGCGCAAGCAGTGTGGTAGGGGGCTGCAGAGTTACAGTTCATAGGCCAACTGCACCACTATCATGGAACTCACCTGGAGGCCAATGTCCAAGGAGCTGTCGAGAAGGATGTGGACCCCCTTATGGATGTTGCAGCAGCGTTTGAAAAGACATCTCCGTCACCACACTTCACTCATAACCATGCCACCCGCTGTCACAGGACTGTCACACTATAGTCAAGCTCGTTGGACCATATTTGTGGGCTATGGCATTTACATTATGGAGAGTTCATATATGAGTTCCACAAAGATTGACCAATTGACCAATGTCGCATGCATCTTTATCATTACACCACCTTTTCGACGGTCCCACTGTCCTGCTTCCATCATCCACCAGTGTTTGCATTCGTTGCGACACTCCGGTCTATGCCATGCCGACCCCAAACGGCCCCAACCATCCCTGGCCCTTTTCGGCATGCATACACCGAGTGTTTGGGCTCCCATCCCAACCCGTGATTTTGAGGGAAAAAGACTGAAACATACCCTATGGATCCACTGCCACCGTACCTCAGAAGCTAGGTGCCAGGACCCTCCAAGGCTTCACAAAAAGTCAATCATCTTCTCAGGTTCGGTGGGAGTGGATCCATAGGGCCTGGAAGGTTCAAGACTATGCCTGTGCCATAGGGTCCAGGTAGGGACGTACATCCTGAGAAAGCTCCTTTGGGACCAAAGGATAACATTGTGGGGGCCTCCCATGGGCAGTCGTGTGGCCTCTCAGCGGCCGATGGCCAGTCCCCAGGTGGACAAGAAACCTGGGGAATGGCGCTCGGCCTGCGAACGCTGTGCAGAGCTCTTGAAAGCTCCACCCTGCAAGGCGTGTGGACAGCCGGTGCCTTGGGTGACATTCATGTAGACTTGTGGATGAAACAACCCCATAAGACAGTGCAAGACCTTTTCATCTATGGGGCGGTTGATTTAGAGAAGGAACCATCAAATGCATAGGCCTGTAGTAGTACATCGGCGCGGGGAGGCGTACGTACAAACTCTTGGAAGGGCGCGTTTGCAGCGCTCGCTGCAAACCGCTGCGGACCGCTGTTGGTTCGTCGCGCTTACCGGGGGTTGCGGCTATGTGTGAGTGTGCGTTGCTGAGATACGTTGGCCAAACAGTCTACCGTTGGGCTGAACTTTCTTTGGAACATAAAAGGATCGGAGAACCCCACATGTCAAGCCTTTTATAGCTAAGCTCTATGTGAGCTGAACTTTCTTTGGATCATTTTTTCGCTGAAACTGTGTAGCTGTTGTTGTTGCTGAGTCCATTCATTCGGAGAGAGATCGTGACAAACGCGTGCGCGATAGGTTGTTGTCGTTGCTGCTGATGTAGGGATCGACCAGGTCAGTGGGGATCCGGGCACGGTCCACTGGGAGCCTGAGGCGGACTGGGGAACGGCTGAGCTGCATGGTACAGACAGTGCAAAAGCCTGTTAGCATTGGATAGCATTAGGTTTCGGTATTAAAGCATTCTTCCGGTATGTCCGACCACCCTGTTCTCCCTAATGCAGAACAAACGACTATATGGCCACTTTGCAGGATTTGTTAATAAAGTACATGAAGTGCCTTCAATATGTGCGATGATTATGATACTATACGGGTGTTGCATTCATTCTGCTGGCATGCTCCAAACAAACGATAGGGGACTCACAAAAAGTGATACCCTTTAACCAAGGTCCAAAACATTGGGAAATGATAGGGCGCTGACTAAATATAACGATGTAGTGGCCATACATAATAGACTGTACCTCACGTACAGTACATTCGGTTGAAATCAACCCGCCATTTCACACGTGCAGCCCGTTGCATGTCCCTGTTTGTGCGCCTAGTTTTGCCCTTCAGCTTCGTTTGTAAATAGAGGCTCGATCACACGAGACCTCCGTGCGACCAAACGCCCATTTGATTTGACAGATATATCGTTCGATCTACGCACGCATGAGTTCGCTTTCAGGTTAAGCGACAATGCTAGATTAGAATTACCAGGGGTCACAAAGGGGTGGTGTTTAGTCCCTAAGTGAGTGGATAATGGGCACCCCTAACCTCCAATAGGCACCCCTTTGTGACCGCTGGTATGTCTATGTTCTTTGCATTTCATCTCGTGATCTTTCGTGTAAGTTATTTTGTGTGTATATCATACCTACCACAGCCACCTGTATGGGCAAGGGGCGTGTAGTGTTTGGAGCATGGTCCCTGATAGGTTGACCATGCGGGCAAAAACCTGGTAGGTTGACCATGGGGCGGCGTCCATTCTGTTCAGGATCGGGTCCGCAGCGCTCCGCCGGGGTTAGGACCCACATATATTCTTTGGGTTTGTCCCAGTACACTTGTAGCAGTTGGTACACAAGCACATCACTATTGCAGAGAAAGGCTTGCAAACTAACCATCATCCACTGGGCCCTGGGTGCTTGGGATATACCCAATGTATATGCCCAGCCCCACGGGGAGAAAGCAGACTTGAACGTGGATGAGATACAAAGTTCGGCATGACGGAGTGTCAGGTCAAAAAAGGGGTGTTCTTCAATGGCGAACTTGCGCTCCAAAACCCTGGCTCCGTGGAGCATGTGGAGCCGGTTTTGGATGGACCCACTGCCTTTTGAGCTTGGACCTGGCCTCCAAAGTACCCGGCCTCCAATGGGACATGACCCAAATAAATGACAGGAGTTCGGAGTAAGTAATTGACCATTTGTGTGCAAGCTACCTGTTCACTATGACCCAAGGTGCGGGACGCCAAGAAGAATGAAAGCCATCCGCCGCTTGGGTTGATGTCAGTCACGCCGATGTCAGTCGTGTGAGCACAAAACCTGGAGGTTCTGGTTTAGCATGTATATCTTGACCTTCCACGTCCTTCCCCGTCAAGCAAGGCAGCCAGGCATCATGATCTTGACCCACTGGTACAGGTTTTGAGGTTTGGCTTTTAGGTGAAGTCTAGAGAGACCCATCGGCGGTGATGGTTTCGGGAAACAACCTGTGATGGTTGAGGGTCAAAACCCATCAATGAGCACCTTTTGTCCTTCGATCATGTGCTTTTGGTTTGTGAACTGACCCATATCCAGTTTGACTGTTGTGGATGGACTTGTGAGTTGACGTATGCATGGTGTTCTTCGAACAGGCTGCATTTCTTGGGGCGGTAGGTGCTGGTTGATTGCTATCTTTTGGATTGTGAAACTTTGCATGTCATGTGTTTTTGGGATTGCAATGGCATTTGAGAAAGATGCCTGGGCGCCTGATTTAAGAGTTTTTTTGCAAAACCATGCAAAACCTAGATATACTCCTAGATATTTGAAAAGCCGTCAAGAGTAGGACATGTGGGATATTGTGGGATGGTCAAAGGCTCAGATCGCCAAATCCGTAGGACTGCTCACGATTCCTACATCGTTTGGGAGAACATTTGATTCCTCAGATCGATCTTAGGTGCTGGATGTCTTCTAACAACAGTTGTGTCGGCTGAAGGGATTATTTTTGATCCAGAGATTGTTTGGTTTGGTGATTGATTGCAGTTGTCTTGCGATTCAACATGACCTCGTTTAGTTAAATTTCAGGGTGTTCAAGCCTGCCTCTCATGTTCAAAAAGCGCAACAATGTCCACTGCGACACAGACAAATGATCATGACGTTGGTGTTTTCCTTGGTGTTCCTTGTGTTGAGATCTCAATCTTCTTGGGGCCACGATACTTTGTTAAAGGACTTTTCGGTGTTTTGCTTCAACACCACCGGTGGCAACACGGACGCACCCAAGCACCACGTCGACGTCGACTTCAACGGTCGACGTCTGAATTCCGAGCTTCTCCACCGAGTGAAACGGGTCCGCGAACGAAGAAACGGGTCCACCGATTACCCAAAAGTGGGCGATTCTTTGGGGACAGGGGGAGTGGAGTTCACCAACTGTTGACGAATACAGACATGGAAGTGGAGGGAAACCACCCTGTCTTCCCAGTGGCCATGCGACTATCCACGAAACCACCATGTGACGAACACGTCCTTTCCTTGGTGTCCGCGCCAGTCGCCAGAGCTCCGAGGTATCATGAAGAGTGCCGACGCTGCAGCTCGTGCTCCTCGGAGGAAAGACGCTTTCCTCGGAGGAAAATCTCCGTGTTGCCTCGATGCGAAGTCTTCCAAAACTGAGGCAGCCGCGGCTGTCTCACGCCCCCCACTCCGAACATGGGCCCCTGTCTCAAAATCTTGTTTTATAGGGTCCTTACTAGGCTTCCAACCACCATGTATTCAATCATCCGAATTCCGAACAACCATTGTTTTACGAATGATTTCACCGTCCAACACCAGGTCGTTCCCACTTTGGTCTACCGGAAGCTTCGAGGATCATGATCCCGTCCAAAGGGTCCGAGGCCGAGGTCTCAGCTGAGGAAAGCAGGGAATGAGGGACGATCGTTTGGACCACCCCCTGGTTCAGACAACCCATTGGGATGCGTCGAACAGTCGCAGAACAGGTGGGGTGATGAAGATGGGTTCTCCCAAAGGTTGAAGGACCCGATGCCCTTCGACTATCCCAGGAACCGGTACCCCAGGTGACGGGTCCTAGTTCAATTCACTGGCTACCTCTCTTGGTACGACAGGGTCCCTCGGGACCCCTAGCCTGACTCAACCACCCCTGGCCTGATCGTCTATATATTCCATCTAGGAGTGTTTGTGATGGGTGTACCTTGGTGAATTTCTCGGGTGGTTTGCCTCACCTGCACGACCTGTTTGGGACTGCTATGCGCAAGCGGGCGGGCGGATGGTAGATAGAATATATTAGAATATGAACATATATATATAATATGTATGAACCAATCCAAAAACATGACCAGTTTCCCATTAATGATGATATTTGATGAGAAGTTTGATGATAAGTTTGATGACATTATTTGAACTTTCCCATATTCTATGTACTCCAGGATAGCTGTAGACATGCATTCCACACATGGAGTGTTTGGGTTAGATGATCAGATAGATTTCATGACCAGAGCAACTTCAGAGGTGGCCAGTTGCCAGCGAAAAAAAGCGGCGTCAGCAACAACCATGGGAGGTCTGCGACGTAGACTGCATCTCCAACCTGGTTTTGCTGATGGTGTGATTTCTATTTTCCTTATGCCAGCACCACCCAAAGGTTGGATGGAAAATACCTCTTCATGGGGGGTGAAAACAGCCACCCTTTGGGTGGTGCTGGTGGGTGAATATATGTGAATATCCTTCTGAACTTTGTTTTATCCGTATACCAGCGGTCGCAAAGGGGTGCCTATTGGAGGTTAGGGGTGCCCATTATCCACTCACTGGATGGGACTAAACACCACCCCTTTGTGACCCGTGGTATAGCCAATGATTGATCATAGTCGACCGGTACTTGGTTCTGCTGCTCTTGGCTTCGGGTGATGTGAACAAGTTTCACCCCATCATCCCTTGGCCTCGAAGCACATGATTGAGCTGATTTACCCAGCCCAATTTCAATAGAGCCAACTTCCGCAGATAGCTGGGCGCCCACAAACCATGATGATCCCCTATCACAAACGATGTCCAAAAGCAACACCCCAAAACCCATCGGATCCTGAGATACCCTTGCGTACGACCCCTTGCGAACGAATCGCCTCATGCGTTTGGTGCGGCGCTCAGGCAATCAGAAGATCTCTAGACAAGGGATGCATTGCACAGCTGGGAAGATCCTTTGTGGCTCCTGCGACGACCTCTTTGGCGAGTTCCGTGAACGCAGCAAAAGAAGGGGCAGTCAGCGAAACCGTCACGAGTCAACGGGCTTTTGGCATCAAATGGAAAGCATGTGGTCAAGACCCAAAGTGTCGATCGGTAAAGATTGCTTCAGTGATTACTCCGGTCATGTTCTGAATCTGCACCATGGGTACAGGCATTTGGCATACATTTGCAGGCAGTCTTTTTTGTTTTTTGATCATCACCCTTAAAGCCTGTCATGATTGAAACATTTCATGTTTGAGGGACATTGGATATCGATTTAAAAAACAAAAACAATGTGATAGAATATGTATGGAAATTGAGGAATCGACAAGCAATATGTTTTTTCAAGTTTGGGTATGTTTGGGTAGATTCAGGGTGTTTTTACAGCTGTAATAATTGATGCATTGAGCAATTCTGCATGCAAAGAACATCGTAAGAACTTGTGAGTTTAAAGGCCTTAGTGCGCATGTTCATACCCAAAACAGCTTGAGCTTGAGCACGCACTGGGCATACATGTATCAAGCATTTGTATTAGTAGACCACATGTTAGAGCATTTTTTTTACTGCCAGCCCTTGTTTTTTTTAAGACTCCAACACCAGGTCAACCAATTTTTTTGTTTAAAGGCTATAGGACTACAACTGAGCTCTTTGGAAAAGAGGTCGGTTGAACTTGGTTGAACTTACCAATTGGTTTTCGTGGACGTTTTGGCATTTGGCAGGTCGGTTAAAAGGTCGGTTGTACTCCGAATGGCGGGTGATTGAATGGATGTGGGGGTCAAAGACTCCCACCGCGAAGTGATGCCAAAAGACTCCCAAACACTCCTGCAGGCTCCAAAAGAGAGGTCCTTCAGACCCCACACGTTGGACTAGTCCAGTTGGGTACCCACGTCGGCGAAATCCCTTTTCAGGTCGTCACGGTGGCCCCTCCAACAGAGGTTGAAAGACCCTATATCTAGGCTATCCCAGGCTATCGGTACCCCAGGTGTCGTGTCCGTTCGGTTTGGCCACTTAACCTTTGTTGGCTCCTTTTCGGTTTCGACGATATGTCCCATGGAGGCTCTGATCGGTTTCGACGACGTGGTCAGGTGGTCAGGTCGCACCTTCCGTTCGGGGTCACCTGGCTGGTTTCGCCCCAGCCCACCACTAAGGGATTTTCAGACAGGAGGCCCATTGAAGGTCCAGGTATCATGAAGAAGATGATGATGATGCTTGTGATTGCTTGTGTGCGTACGTTTGTTTTCTATCTTTGAATCCGTCCAGTGCTTTTGTATCTCCTTTGAAACCGTGTGTTCCCCTTCCATACCTGGATATGATTCCAACTATGCAACATGTCTGCCGAACCTTGCTGGTTTTGTGGATGATAAGCCAGACATGTTGCATAGTTGGAAGATCAAATTATCAACTAACTGGTGCTCAGCGCATGAGGGAATGATCTCCCAATCAATACAGATTACTGAGGATCCAGCCACCCTCATGCCCTGCGAATCGCACCAGTCAGTCAAATTGACGCCGTTTCGCCGGATTCATGCGTTTCGCCGGATTCATCGTCCGGCCAGTAGCTGCGGCGCCTGCATGAGGTTCTTCGTGCCGGGAAAGCGGAATGGCGCGGAGTACATGAGAGAGGCCTTCAAGGCATGGCTGGGGCGTGGTCACGCGGGGTAGTAGTGCAGGGAAGGAAGTGGCTGGTGAACTCCAGGTATAGTACAGCTGGTTTTCTCACCAGCCCAGATGAATGCTTCTGACCTGTGTCAGATTTGGGTCCGGCACGGGGCACGTCCTCAGGCTCGAAGCTCGAGGAATTGGGTGTGTATTCCCTAATTACCTCAGAAAAGGTGGTAAGACCCCCCAAGCACCTAACCTGGGGATGTAGGCCAGGAGCCCGTTTTTCTAGAGCTACAAGTCCAGTCCAGTGAAACTTGTTCTTTTTACATCCTTGAGTAGTGTTTTTGTTTGACCAACTCCAGTAAAATGAGATCAGTTCCTGGCCTGTAGGGATGATAAAAGACCCCTCTGAACAGAGCAACCGGCCGAACATAGCCCCAAAACCGCCCGGAAAGGGCGGAGGGGCCTCCTGGATTTGAACGACACTCATGGTGTCCTGCATGGTGAGCTTTTTGAGCAGCGGTGCTACTCGCGCCAGCACGCAGTGGCGGGTGGTGGCCGCAGTACTTCCTCTTCTTTGGCGGTGTTTTTGAAAGCACTCCTGTTGCTTCATTTCAAAGCAATCCAAGACAGCCTGCATAGGGGCAGTTCTTGTGTTGGAACCATCACTGGTATGTTCAAGTGTACCTTCGGAACTTCGGCTTTGGAAAACCATCACTGGCACTTCTTGGATCTATCCTGCTATCTCCTGCCAAAGATGGTATCGATTTGCAAAGTGACCCAAACCATCTACCCTAAGAAACCTTGGGCCCTCATCGGATCCGAACCAAACCCTCTGTGCTTTTCGGGCTCCAAGAGAACTTCTTACTATAGGGATCTATAGGGTATATACAGCAAAACTCTCTCAGTTAAACTCTCCAATACCATCCGGATGGTCACCAGCCTTCCATTTCGCCCCAGCCACCGGTTTTCACCATGCGGCCGAACCGGGCCGGATCCGGTGACGGACGCCGCCTCTCGAGGCCTGGGATGAAGACAGTTCGGGGTGGATCGACACCGGAGAGCTTCGAAGCCCGGTGATGGATGGACCACGGACACTCGTGAGGTGTGCACCGGGATTGCTCAAGGACCGGTAAGACCCAGACGCGACCTGTCTGGGACTGGAATACTGCCTTCAAAACGGCGTATGGGGTGGTGGTAATTTGGGGGGTCAATGTAAATCGGCATAGATTCCAGTCCCATGGAGTGTATGGGAGATAGTTTCAGTAAATGACTTATCTTATAATGATCGACCTGGTGACCTGGTGGACCTTGCGTAAAAGCCTTCCAAAGACTGGTTTAAGCCCGGCAAAAACCATGTAAAGTCCGTTCCTAAACTTGTTAGGGTTGTTCGGGCGTTCTTTTCATGGCAGCATAGTTGCGCAACATCAAATGGCTTTGGAATCCCAGGGCCACGGGAATCTCACCACTTCCCCTTGAAAAGGATCACGAAGCTGCCAGGAATCCACAGGAATAAAACACGAACCTCGTGGTGGTTGGGTGTCCAATTCAAAAGCATGGTTGTGGTAGGGGGGAAGGGGGGGCACAGCCAAGAAAACTGGTCTTGGCTGTGGTGACGTTTAAATATGTTTAAAGGTGACTCACAACATGGACCTGTTTGCAGACTTTGTTGCGTGGATCAAGCTCTTACACGAATCTGCACATGGGTTTTAGGGCTTAAAGATTAGACTAGAGAGAGAGACCCCTCAGCGTCAACCACTGGATTTTGTTGATGTTCCATTGACCAGGAACCCCATCTTACGGGCAACCCGCAGCATACGTCAGATGTTGCGTAGATTGATCGACTGATTGATCGATCCTGATGTCCACCGAGCGTGGCGTCTTTTCCATGCGACACCCGTGGCTTTCCATGCACCACCGACAAAAGGATGGTCTATCGGATGAAAGACTTCATGGGACTCCCAAAAGAAGTTTCCAATTGGGTATATGGCATGCCATAAAGGTCTAACATGGCATTGGGTGTTTCTAACATGAGCAGCCCTTTCTTTCCATGCCATGCCGACCTTCACCCCTTTAAACTAGGCTAAGCACCCCAAGTCATCGGCAAACATAGGGCAGTCCCATGGAGGTCTCGGCAACTGTTTCGGGTTTTTGGGATCGCTTGGGTTGATTCATCAGAGCCGGTGCCAACGCCGCCTTGATTCATTGGAGAACTTTCACAACGGGATGACGGGTGGATTCTACCTTAAGAATGCCTTGGATGCGTTCCCGAAGCAATGGGAAGGGTTTTGGTTCGGGTCCGACCCCTGCCATGGAGAATCCAAGGGTTCTTAGTAGGGTGTTGTTTTAGGGTCCCAGTCGTGTCTGTGGAGGATTTTGCATTTACAGCTCGTGTGCATGTGTTCAGTGCTTTTTTGATGTGATATTCTGTTCATCGGCAGAGAACAGCAGAGAACGACTTCCCACTGAAGACACCACCAGAAATTCCTCATTTGCGGGGTGCCAACGGCCGAATCCAGTAGGTTTGCTGCCTGATGACTATAGCAACAGCAGTGGCCAAGGGTGTTTAAACGAAGCCACCGCTTTTGTGTTCAACGGGTGTGGTGAAAACGGGTTCCGCTTTGAAGGGTCTCGAGAAAAGTGAGCCAGCGACTATAGCATCAAACTGGAATGAGACGAATGATAGAAATATCGTTGTCCAGCAGCTGGCTCCAGAATTCTCTTGATCTTCGAGTTTTCTTTGGGAAGAAGTTCTTGTGACCGCTGCAAAGACTCCTCGATGTTTATTCCCTCCCTAGGGATCCAGTCGTACCTTCTCAGAAAGTGATGTGTTCGACTATTTATGTAGGCGCCATTGTCGGGCCCAGTCGTACCGAACCAGGTCGGTACGGTGGCAGTGGATCCCTAGGCCCTCAGAATCCGAGTGACCACGGGCGAACAATTCATGGGGGCCCGACACCGAACTTGCAGGGGCGCCCGAGGAGTGTTCACTTCTTTCATGGGACTTCGGAAGTACCTGGACCAGCCTGGCCATATACTTCCAGAGATATACTTCCAGATACCCCCTAGGTCATCATGACACATCTGTGACATCAACAGTAACAGGCGGTATAAATCGATCTATAGAACCGTTTCCGAGGTGGTACGACCGGGTCGGTACAGCCCTTCAAACATCTGAACATCACCCCAATCTATACCCGGACACTCCATGTATGGAATATAATATATGCCTACATTATGGTTTCAGAGGTCAACGTATGTAAATATGCCATACATGGAGTGTCTGGGATAGGCAAATCTTCAGTGATTGTTACCAGGACCCGAAACCTGCCAGGTCACCACCTGCGACTTATAGGTCAACACTGCCTCCATTCTGCCTCCATTCTGGTGACCTGTTGGAAGTTTGTGGTATCAGGTTGAAACTTGGGATCTCCACCTACTGCCCAGACGCCACCCTGGACCCGAATCTCAGGACGGGTGCTGAAAGCGATCATGCCCAACTTCTCGGACCGTCCCTCGGCGCTCCGAGCGGGTCCAGCAGGAAGGAAGGTCCGCCAAAGGAAAAGGAGGATGCCGACCGACGTAGAGGTCACTTAGAGGTAGCGGACACTAGAGAGACGTGTTCTACGTAGACGCATAGACGTGACCGACGTGACGCATAGACGGTAGAACGTGCATAGTGATTTGGGGGTGAAAGTTCTGGCGCGGAGAATGAGAATATGGGTGTGTGCGGCACTTGGTCCTTTAAGTCCGGTTGCTGAAGCAAATCGGGTGTCTGGCGCCGGAGGGTCAGTTGGATTTGTTGTTTTGCTTCGGGGTGTTTGCGGGTCAGTTGCTGGGGTGGATTGATGGTAAGTAACATGTAAGAACCGTCTTCATTTCATGTCGATTTATGTTGAAGGGTGATAACTATTAAGTGACTTGCATACAAAACGGACACCTGGTTGGGTTGGGTTGTTCGGGTCGCCGGTGCACTAATTACGTGCTTTGTTTTGGAGTGTTTTGGAAGAAGATATGACTCAGTCCTCTTCTGAACTTGTGAAAAGAGAGTGCATCGTTGCGTGGTTTCGAATCCCGCCCCTTTGCGAGCAAACCCAGCAAAACCAAGTCACGTCAAGGCCCACGTCACGTCAAGAAGTGTCCCCCCCTACACTGTCAGTGGAGAACCTACGAAGGACAAGTTCATGTCTGGACCATCCGGGACCAGGGCCTCCTGTCAGGAGATCCCGGGATCTCCGTGGGGTAGTCCAACCAGGATCTCAGGCAGGATGCTCCCTGGTATCCCTCTGCTCTCGGGTTGGTTTCGCACCGTGGGTTTTTTCCGCAGAAACCCAACGACCGGTGGAACGATGCCCGGAGGACGCCTGGGCGTCGTGCGTGTCCCCCCGCCGTTTAGACTGATCGAAGCAGATCCGACTGAGTGAGGAAATGGTAAGATCTCAGGGACCGATGGACCCCCTTCTTGGATTTGGGGCGAGTGGAGAGGATTGGTGAGAGTGTATGGCTTTTGAACCGGCGCCATGCATGGTTCATGGAACACATGAAATACCGTGGTTTTAGATGACAGAGACCCCATGATGTCCTTTAGATGAGGGTCCCTGTGCCATTGGTCCTCGCAATCCATGCGTTCACGAAAGTCCAGTCCGGTCCGTTCACTTTGCGCCTTCACACTGGTCGCTTTGCCTCCAAGCCTAGACACTCCCGGTATAAAAGGCCTAGACGCACTCAGTGGCCCTCAAAACATCTCAAAACCATGAAAAGTAAAGGTGTTCACATACAAAATACATGTTTTTTGATAGGAAAACCTATCAAAACCAGGTGTTTGATGGTTTGTGGGGCCCCTACTAGGAGGGCTCGAGATTGCCGATCAATCGATCGGAGCCACTCGCGGCCCCAGACCTAACACAGGTCGCGCTTTTCCTTGCGGTCCGCCATTGCGTTGGCTAGGAGACCTCCACCTAGTCCTTCGTGGCATCGCAGGTTGAGAGCAAGACGAGCGAAGGCTCGGCTGGATCTCCAGAAGCATAGGTGCAAGAGCTGGTTGAGCAGAAAACTGCTCTTACGTGTCCTACGGGCTGGACGCCTTTTGGCCTCGCACCATACGAAGCCAATCTACCGTGTCAAGTGCCTGGATAGGATGTCATGGAAGAACCAGCAGAAGTGGAATCAACGTGCAGAAAGCTGGAAGCAATCATGGCCAGAAGCACGAGAAAAGAGCTCAGCAAAGCAAGAGGTCAAGCCAAAGGAGAAGGATCGTTCCAAGCAGGTCATCTACAGCCACGATGGGCGTCGCCTAGAGCTAAAGTTGCCTGGATCTGGATCATCCTCATCTACTTCAGCTGGGGCCCAGGCCGACTTGCAGAGCGAGAACAAGAAGTTGAAGGATGCGGTGCGCTTCTTAGCGAAGAGGGATGCAGAAGGATTAGGTGGAGAAGAGGTGCCGGAAGACATCAAGCGCTTGGTGAACTCCAATCCACGAGAAGAACTACGAGAGCAACAGAAAGAATTGAACAAGATGAAGAAGTCCCTCGGGAGACTGGAGAAAGTCCAGTCGCAGATCAGTACCCAGCAGGACAGCTTTACGAGTTGGAAGGCTGCAATGATGGACATGATCAACGACGAGGAGAAGCGACACCAGAGCGAGATCAAGGAGCTCAAAGACGAGGTGGCGACCTTGGAGGAGAAAGACGGTCGCATGGACCTCGAAGTTGGTGGCCTCCCCAAGGAGCAACGAGAGGTAATGACTCAAGAGCTGCAACAGTTCCGAGCGGAGATGACTTCTTATGTTATGAGTCTCGAACAGCGGAATATGGATATGGCACAGCAGATGCAATTCCTGATACAAGCTGTGAAAGACGTGAAGCATACAGAGGTCTTGAAAGAGTCTCCGCAAACGGTTCACGCACCCAAGATTCATTTGCCAGAGAAGACACCGGACAGAACCTACAGGGGAGATCGTTCACGATCACCTTGCAAACGAAATGCCGAGAGTACGGTCGAAGAGATCGAGAACAAGACCGAGATCATGAAGGCACTCTACAAGATCCCAGTGGAGTACCACCAGACAATTACCGCCATTATGGAGGCCGAGCCAGAGAAGTACCAGACTCCTGCAAGTGTAGACTTGCTCTGTCAGCAAATGCTGGAGCAGGTGAACAATGGTGGAGGAAAGAATGGTGCGATGACTGGTGGTGCGAAGAAGGGCAAAGGCAAGACTACGGCAAAAGGGCCGCTGCAGCCCTTCTGGAGTTCCCACGAGTTGAACAAGCCCTTGCGAGAAGGGACATCTGGGGCAGAAGGGACCCCGAGGGAGGACAGTCAGCATTCCGATGCATCGAGTGGCCTTTTCCACAAGATGGACGGCTAGGGGTGGCAGACGATGAGTATCCATTGGTGTGGTTCACTAGTGGGCTTGGGGTGTCGATGTCATCCTTTTTTCTGCAGTGCGCTCAATTTCAAAGCAGCACGCATGAACTACCATATGAGCAGTTGCTTTCCGGGTGCTGTGTAGCGACTTTGAATCTACACACAAGTTGCTGTTCTGCTGGCATACTACTCTATGAGGGGGGATTTCAAGAGGGCCCCCAACTCCTTTCATCTTTGAGTACGGATGATTTGTTTGAGACCTACCATGAAGACGGTCCATCTATGCAAATGGTTGGCTGTATTTTCCTACTTCAATGGGGTCTTCGAAGCATTTCTTTCCTGCCTGTGCAAATCTTGGTGCTGATTTGGGCTCTGTCGATTGCTTGGGGAGTCACTCAAGGAGACCAAATCATTTGTGCTTGGAAGTGTATCTTTCGAGGAGGCCGGATCAATTGCTGTCCTACGCTACAGCTGCTATGGCCTTTCTTGTTTTCGCAGCTTCTTGGATTGCTCTGTGGAGGGGCTTTGCTGGAGTTTGCAAATGTGGAGATTGATGAGGAGGTATCTGGAGGGCTGCCATTGGCTGTCTCTATTGTGCGACTTCATGGTGCTTTCCTTTCTCTCTGCATCTTGGGTTTACTCTATCGAGGACGACTTGAGGAGGCACTCTACATGCCTGCGATGTGTCGATGGTGCGAGGGTCGTAGAGCTCTCAAGTATAGGAGAAGAAAGCCACGGATCAAATGGGTTGGGATCTTTCTATTGCTCAACCTTGGTTGCAGTGAAGCCTCTGCTATCAAAGAAAAGGTGACCATTGGATACCATACCTTTGGCCAGAGAGAGGCCTTCCGTTCTTCCTTTGCCTCAGATGAAGGAGAACACCATTGCAGCAGTGATTGCCGTGGCCAAGTAGGAGAGAGCAAGTGCATGATTGTGCATAGTGATGCGATTAAGCTAGGTGTGAATTTCTCTCCTGCAATACTAAGCCGAGAGTGGAAGAGTGAGGGGAACTCGACTTCCACTTGCCACCACATAGGATCCGGATTTCTGTGTGGATCGAATGAAGCTTGTCCTTCCCCTTGGCCTTGTGGGAATGATGAGATGCAGTGTCGAATAGGTTCCGACAACGAAGGCCTTTCCCGAGATTCCTATGCTTCTGCTTCGTTTTGTCCTCAGGTCTTCTTGACAAGCGAGAAAGAATTGAGATTTTGTGAAGTAGAGCATGGGTCTTCTTGTGCACGGGGGGTTCTTTCGACTCCTTGTGCTGTGCGTGCCGTTAACCCACGTTTTGCTGATTCTTTCGTTGATTCAGATAGTGGGAATTCTAGTAAGAAACAAAGAGAAGAAGAGGCTTTGGACCTTGCTGTTGACTGGTCCCCTGATGAAGCTTTTTTGATGCAGGTGAGTCCACCGATTGAGGATTTGGTGGCACAATACATTAGGACTCACGCTCCGAATTTCCGTGATACCCAGCTTCTTGTCTGGTATCACCCCGCTGAAGCAATACGGCGCCTGCAAGCCAACCACCGCTATGTTGTGTATAACCATGAGCTGCCAGCGGGTGCACAGGCGAGAGCCAGTTGGGCGAACATGCTTGGACGAAGGCCATGCTATGTGCATCCTGTACGGCCGGTCCCGCCTCACTTACCATATGATTTGCCGCAAGTCATCGTGACCCCTGTCAGGCATGAGCATTTGATACCTGTGTTAGTTGATTATCGCTCTAGCCTAACCAGTTTAAGGGGGACTTTTCTTCTTGGGACCAGAGGAACGCCCTCTGTATACATGGCATTTGCTCAGATATATCCTGCAAATCAATGTGTCTGGGTCAATGACTGTTTCATCATACTGCAGAGGAACGCTGGACCGGAACATTATCAATGGGGTCAGACTTTCCCGGTCTTCGAGGGTCTCTACTTCATTATGATCGAGCAATCGCCTGACTCAAGTACGGGCTCTTCGACAGATGGAGGCTCAGACGAGGGGCGAGACAGTGAAGTGGCCAGTGATTCAGATGAGTCTTATGGTTCGTGTTCTGCTCATGATAGTGATGACAACTATGAACGTACTGTAGGAGTGGCTCTAATGCAGACTTCCTGGGAATTGCAATTTGCATCAGAAGAAGCGTCTTTTCGTGAGGTTTTA